GGGGGGGTGTCTTAGCTCAAAAAATTTCATTCCTGCACCTTAAAATGTTTTCATCTCTGTGGTAAAAAAAATGTTGATTTGATCCACGAATGATTAGAATTAGAGATGAGTGATCGAACATGGCGAAGTGGAATTCGTTTGAAGATTAAGAAAAAACGATCGATTCGCGCCGAATCCGAAAATTAGCAAACTTCGGATGCACGAATCGAATTTTCCCAAAAATGGCGACGACATGTGTGGCGACGGAGCGGGGATCTCTGGGAAGGCGCGCAGACAAGGCGCGCTGACCCATAATGCATTCATTCATGACATGTGATCGCATTAGCCAATCAGCAGCCCAGCCAGCCAGCACTGTGTAATGGTGGAGCTATAAATCGCGGCCATCTTAGAATTCTCCATTAGCCTCCGGTCATTCAAGAGAGACAGACCTGTCTGTATTAGGGACAGAGTTAGGGCCACAGAGACTTTAGGGCCACAGAATCGTTACTCAGGGCCACAGAATCGTTACTCAGGGACACAGAATCGTTACTCAGGGACACAGAATCGTTACTCAGGGACACAGAATCGTTACTCAGGGACACAGAATCGTTACTCAGGGACACCAGAATTGTTACTCAGGGACACAGAATTGTTACTCAGGGACACAGAATCGTTACTCAGGGACAGACACAGAATTGTTACTCAGGGACACAGAATTGTTACTCAGGGACACAGAATCGTTACTCAGGGACACAGAATTGTTACTCAGGGACACAGAATTGTTACTCAGGGACACAGAATTGTTACTCAGGGACACAGAATCGTTACTCAGGGACACAGAATTGTTACTCAGGACACAGAATTGTTACTCAGGGACACAGAATTGTTACTCAGGGACACAGAATCGTTACTCAGGGACACAGAATTGTTACTCAGGGACACAGAATCGTTACTCAGGGACACAGAATTGTTACTCAGGGACACAGAATTGTTACTCAGGGACACAGAATCGTTACTCAGGGACACAGAATTGTTACTCAGGACACAGAATTGTTACTCAGGGACACAGAATTGTTACTCAGGGACACAGAATTGTTACTCAGGGACACAGAATCGTTACTCAGGGACACAGAATTGTTACTCAGGGACACAGAATCGTTACTCAGGGACACAGAATCGTTACTCAGGGACACAGAATTGTTACTCAGAGGACACAGAATCGTTACTGAGGGACACAGAATTGTTACTCAGGGACACAGAATCGTTACTCAGGGACACAGAATCATTACTCAGGGACACACAGAATCGTTACTCAGGACAGACACAGAATTGTTACTCAGGGACACAGAATCGTTACTCAGGGACACAGAATCGTTACTCAGGGACACAGAATTGTTACTCAGGGACACAGAATCGTTACTCAGGGACACAGAATTGTTACTCAGGGACACAGAATCGTTACACAGAATTGTTACTCAGGGACACAGAATTGTTACTCAGGGACACAGAATCGTTACTCAGGGACACAGAATCGTTACTCAGGGACACAGAATCGTTACTCAGGGACACAGAATCGTTACTCGGGGACACAGAATTGTTACTCAGGGACACAGAATCGTTACTTTCTGCTTCACAACCACTATTGAATTAAAGAGTATGTCAGACAACACGCAGAGGAGTGGCAGAGGAGGCAATGTTTCAGGAGCGAGCAGACGTGGCAGCAGAGGAAGGGGTCGAGGCAGCACTAGTCGCAGCCAGAGGCCAGTGCTCCCGGTGTCATCCAGCGGTCGTGTCTCCACCGACAACCCTGCCGTCATCGATTGGTTGACTCGGTCGTCTTCCTCTTCCCAGGTCACCTCTGACACCTACAGCCAACGGTCGGTGGGTACGTCAGACACAACCGTTAGTTGGCATGGCCCGGGAGCAAGCCCACTGAAATCACGTGTCCTCTACCTGCCCCTGTCCTTTGGTGTTCCCTCACCAAGCGAAGTATCGCATGCTGTGGGCTCAGCCCCACTGTACAGTGAGGAAGAGCTAACAGAGGGCGGTCAGGAACGGGGGGAGACATCCGCCTCTTCAGCAGCCAGGGCGAAGAAGTACTGGCGAGGAGAGTGGCTCGGTAGCCGGTCTAGAGACAGGTCTGTCTCCTGACCCACACGCAGCCGAGGGGGCTAGTAGTGAGGCGGAGACCCTAATTGATGATGATGAGGCTGATCGCACTTGGCAGCCTCGTCGTCATCAGGCTATTGCTTCCGCATCATCAGGAGAAGAGGGTGCCAGCTTGGCAGCGAGCAAAACAGTCGGTGGGTTGCCCAGGAGGCAGCAGGGTCGCAGCAGTGTCAGTGGAGGCAAACGGCCACGGAGTAGAGCACCAGCTCCACTGCAGCCTACCACCACGGCCAGTAGTGGTGCCGGTGTGCACGGAGGAAGTAGCAGTCAGCCAGTGAGGAGTAGCGGGGGCAAAGTTTCCTACTCGGCGGTGTGGCAATTTTTCGTCAAGCCGCCCGAGGAAGTAAACGTAGCCGTATGTCGACTATGTGGCCAGAAAGTCAAGCGTGGCCAGGGGGCCCATGTTGGGACTACAGCGTTGCGTCAGCATATGCAGCGTCGCCATTCGGTGGCCTGGGAAAACCGTGATAAAGATACGGCGGTTCTGCCTGCCCCAGCCCCCGCTCCATCACCCGCTCCGTTACTTGCTCCGTCACCCGACGTCAATCGCCCTCTATCAGCCAGTCAAGGCTCCAACACCTCTGCTGAGGGGAGTTGTCGCTCGTTGGCATCTTCCGCTCGTTCAGATGCTCCTTCTCCTGCTACTCCTCTTCACGGATTCCGTCAGCAGTCTTTCTTGGAATCCGTTTCCAAGAGACAACAGTTTGCGAGCACGCACCCGACGGTGCAGAAGCTGAACGTCCTCCTGTCCAAGTTGCTGGTGCTGCAGTCCCTCCCTTTCCAAGTGGTGGACTCAGCACCTTTCCGAGAAATGATGGCTTGTGCCGAGCCGCGGTGGAGAGTGCCAAGCCGGCATTTCTTCGCCAAAAAGGCAGTGCCAGCCCTGCATTCACATGTAGAAGAGATGGTGGGCCAGTCTTTGAGCATGTCGGTCTCTGCCAAAGTGCACGGCAGCGCCGACGTGTGGAGCTGTAACTACGGTCAGGGACAGTACATGTCATTTACGGCCCACTGGGTGAACGTGGTGCCGGCACAGCCGCACCAGCAACTTGGACAGGTCACGCCGCTTTTGCCTCCACGTTTGCACGTCCTTGGTCCAGCAAAGATGTCCGCCTCTACCACCTCTTCTTCCGCCGTGTCCTCAGCCGCCACCCCCCGTGCCAAGTCCCATTACCCGACCGGCATATCACATGTGCAGGGCGCAACGGTGTCACGCTGTGCTGCACCTGGTATGCCTTGGCGAACGTAGTCACACAGGGGAGGAACTTCTGAGTGTAATGAACAGAGAAATCGACAGATGGCTGTCTCCGCGCAAACTGAAAATCGGAACCATGTTGACCGACAACGGAAAGAACATGGTGTCTGCTCTGCGTCAAGGAAGGTTGTGCCATGCGCCATGCATGGCTCACGTGTTCAATCTGGTTGTCAAGCGGTTCTAAAATCCACCATCCCACTGCAAGACATCCTTAAAATGTCACGTAAACTTTGCATGCATTTCAGCCATTCCTACACCGCAAAGCACACCCTCCTTGAGCTGCAGCGGCAGAACGGAATTCCACAGCATCGCCTGATCTGCGACGTTGCAACAAGGTGGAATTCAACCCTACATATGTTAGACCGCCTTTACGAACAGCGAAAGGCCATCACCGATTTCCTGATGTTACAAGCGGATAAAGGTACTCCCCTGTGTAACTTAGATGTCAGCCATTGGCAGCTCATGCGTGACACCTGCCGCTTGCTCAGGCCCTTTGAGGAGGCCACGCTATTCGTGAGTCGGCAGGACTATGGGATGAACGACGTCATTCCTCTGTTGCACGTCCTGGAACAAATGCTGTTAACAATGGCTGGTCAGGGTGCGGTAGACGTGGCGCACAGATCTCAACGCCACATGACCCCTGTGGGGGCAGGACAGGAAGAAGAGGAGGAGGTAGAGGAGGACATTGGTGCTCAGGAATTATTGAGTGAAATGGGTGGTTTTTCCACTCAGCGGACAGGAGTGGAGGAGCAGGAGCATCTGGTAGAGGAGGAGGAGGAGGAGACAGAGGACCCAGACGCACCGTGGCAGTATGCTGTGGAGATGGAGGCAGGGAGTCCCTCGCATTCCTTGGCACAAATGGCCCATAGCATGCTCGGTTGCTTGCGTAGCGACAGCCGAATAATAACCCATCAGACAGAGGGATGACTTTTGGCTGTCCACCTTGTTGGACCCTCGCTACCGTTCAAAAATGGTGGCCTTTTTCACACCTGCTGAGAGAGGGGAGGCCAAAATAAAGTACTATAAAAACCACCTATGTAGTCAGTTGGTCTCTGCCTTTCTGCGCCAACGTCCATCCTCAGACACTGTGGGCCCTGTGCGCTCTCGCGTTCCGCTGCCATGGCAGCAGGGGAGGGGTGGGGTGGTAGGAGCAGTGGCAGCTCCCACCAGCAGCGGCTGCCTCAGTCTGCAGTCGATGATGAGTAGCTTTCTTCACCAGCGCAGTGAGGAAACTACTAACCAGCCGCAGCAGCAGCAGCATCAGGTGGACCTGGAGCAGGACCTCAAACAACAGGCTCGGGCCTACTTGGACAGCACCCTGCCAACCGAGGTAGACAATCCCCTTGACTACTGGGCAACGAAACTTGACCTTTGGCCCCAACTAGCTGAATTTGCCCTTGAAAGGCTGTCATGCCCGGCCAGTAGCGTGGCATCGGAGCGCGTGTTTAGTGCGGCAGGAGGTATTGTAACTCCGCGGAGGACACGACTGTCCACCCAAAGTGTGGAGAGACTCACGTTTGTGAAAATGAATCAGGCGTGGATTAGTCTGGATTTCAAACCACCAGTTCCTGACACAACTGACTAAATCCGCCATGAATCATGCCCCAAACATGTTATTATTTTTAACATAGGCCTCTGTATGGCCTTCAATTTAAGCTGCTTACGCTTCGCCACTCTGCCATGGGCCCCTGTACCGCCTCCTCTTGCTGCTGCCAGGTCCAGAGTGTGTCATGGGTCCCTGTACGGCCTCCCATTGCTGCTGACTTCATCGCCAGACTCTGCCATGTGCCACTTTCAGGTCTCCTTACACTGTTGGTGGGTTCCATTTTGTAATAGGGTGCTGTATGGCCTTCCATTGCTGCTGCCTCCACCGCCACCCTGCGCCATGTGCCTCTGACTCTTGAGTCTCAAGAGTCCAATGGCTGAGTGGCGGAGCAGAAGCAGCTTCAATTGAAGGCATACACATGGTCCCTAGGTTTAAAAGTCCCTCACAGTTAATTCCAATAACGAACTCTACTCCTCCGTGCATCTACTCTGTCGTATGCTGCACGCCTTACGCTGTCCCGCTTATGTATCATGAGTCCCCGGTACAGGGCCTCCCATTGCTGCTGTCTCCATCGCCACACTCTGGCCATGGTGCCACTTCTCAGAGTCTCCTCACCACTGCTGGTGGGTCCATTTTTAACATAGGGTGCTGGTATGATTACGGGCCTCCACCCATTGCTGCTGCCAGCCCGAGGTGTCGCCACGGGGCCCCTGGCAGATTACCGCCATCCTCATGCTGAGCGTTCCCGAATACTGCTGCCCATGGTCCAGAGTGTCCTCATGGTCCCCTGTAACGTCTGCCTCCCATTGCAGCTTGCCTCCATCGCCAGGCACTCTGCATTGCCAATTTCACTGCTGTCTCCTCACACTGCGGGTGGGTTTCATTTTGTCATAGGGTGCTGACGGGCTCCCATTGCTGCTACCTGCCCGTAATCTGCCATGGGCCCCCCGTACCGCCAATCCTCAATGCTGCCAGGTCCCAGAGTGGGTCCCTAAGGCCCTCCCAGTGCCGCTCCATACGCCCATGTGCCCCTGTACAGGTCTCTCCTTTCACTGCTGGCCAAGGTCCATTGTGTGTCATAGGGTGCTGGCTGTACGCCTCCCATTGCTGCTGCTCACCGCCACCGACTCTGCCATGTAGCCACTTTCAGGTCTCTGCCTCACTGCTGCTGGGGTTCCAGCATTGTGTCATAGGGTGCCTGTACGGGCCTTTCCCATTTGCTGCTGCCTCCACCGCCACCCTGCCCATGTGCCTCTGTCAGGTCTGCTCACGCTGCTGACGGGCTTCCGCTTTTTAACCGAGGTCCTGTGATTAAGGGCCTCCCAATACTGCTGCTGCCAGGTCCCGCCACCATGCGCCATGTTGTCCCTGTACGTCTGCTCACAGCTGCTGACAGCTTCCGCTACATCTAACCGCTAGGCCTGTGTATGGCCTCCTCAATGCTGCTGGCTCCCACCGCCACCCTGGCGCATGTGGCTCTGTACGGTGCGCATCCTCACGCTGCTGATGGCATCCAGCTTGTGTCAACCTGGCCTGTGTATGGCTGCCAGGCCGTAATATGCTGCCTCCACCGCCACCCTAATCTGCCATGTGCCTCTGTCCCCGTCTGCTCACGCTGCTGCCATGGTTCCAGCTTTTTCAAACTTAGTCCTGGTTTTATGTCTTGCCGAATACTTCCATTGCTGCTCCACCGCCACCCTCTGCCATGTGCCACTTTCAGGTCTCCATTTACACACTGCTGGTGGGTTCATTTTGGTCATAGGGTTCCCTGTATGGCCTCCCATTGCTGCTTCTCCACCATCGCCACACCACTTGCCATGTGCCACTTCAGGTCCTTCTCACACAGCGTGGGTTTTCCATTTTGTCATAGGGTGCTGGCAAGATTACGGGCCTCCCATTGCTGCTGCAGGCCCGTAATCTGCAGGGCCCCTGTACGACTTAAAGCCCAGCTGCTCGCCAGGACCCCGTAATCATTGTCATGGCCCCTGTACGCCTCCTCATGCTGCTTGCCAGACCAGATGTGTCATGGGATCCCTGTACGGCTCCCATTGCTGCTGGTCCCTCATCGCTCACATTCCTCTGCATGTGCCACTTGCAAATAATGCTCCCTACCCCCGCCACCCGGCGCCATGGGGCCCCTGTCGTCTGCTCACACTGCCCCAGGTCCTTTACTGTTTTCTTTGGCCCCCTGTCCCGGCCCCCCTTTTTAAACGGGGTTCAGGGGGTTTTTGCTAACTTAAGGGCCCAAATCGGGGGACAAACGCTGGGACGTTCAGTGTTTTTTTGGGCCCCTTTAAACCAGACCCCAAAAAGGGCAGCCCCGGGACCGGGGGGACTCGCTCAAGCATGGCGGAAAAAAACCAAAAACCAAAGGCCTGTTTTTTGGGTTTCCCCAAATACTCTGCATCCACCGCCCGCCCACTGCTGCGGCCGGGGCCCGGGAATTCGGTCAGGGGCCCCCGGTACCGCCTCCCATGCGGCTGCCAGGTCCGGGGGAGTGTGTCCTTGGGTTCTGTACGGCCTCCCATTGCTGCGCCCTCCATCCCCACACTCTCCCAAAAGTGGCCACTGTCAGGCCCCACACTGGGGGGGGTTCCATTTTGTCTTTAAGAGTGCTGTATGGCCCCGGGGGCTGCTGCCTCCCCCCCCGGGCCCCCACTGTGGCCCAAAACGGGGGTTTTTGGCCCCGTGATCCCCAAAGGGAGTGTAGTGTCCCGGGGTTTCCCAAGATCGCCCGGCATCATCCCCCATGCAACGGGACTACAGTTTTTAGTTCTTTTTTCCCCAGCGGGACCCCAAAGGGGCCCTTTAAAAATTAAAGGTACGTGTTCTGCATAATAAAAAGGCTCCTGAACCTAGAAACCCCCCCTTTTTATAATTTAAATTCGAGGGGAATTTATTGGGCCCTCAAAATCGAATTTTTTCCCGGGGCAAATTGGGCGAACCCAACCAAAATCAAATTTTTTGAAAAATTTTCGCTCATCTCAAATTTTAGAAAAAACAAAAAAACCATTTTTAAAAAGTTTTTACAATAAAAAAATGTTGAAGGGTTCAATTGTGTGTACAAAAGGATAACAGGCACATGGTGGGGGCAGT